AAATCAATTAGTCACAGTGTAGAACTTCATAGGTACTTACATCAGTTCAAGTTGCCATACCACGTTAGAACGGAGACGCAGTTGTCGATTCAAATCACATAGTGATAGAAGTAGTAAGAGTAGATAGAGACATGAAGAATTCAGAAGATTAGAATTTAGAAGAACACAAACAGTGGATGCACCTTCACCATTACAAACGATTTTGAGCTATGTTACTCAAGGTCTTTAACTATCAGTCGCTATAGTGTCGCGAATCCCAGCCAGGTGGTCTAAACTTACCATAATGACTCAGTTCACTTGTCAGTGACTTCATGGATTTGTACCACGTTTTGGTTTGGCCACCCCTAGCTTCCATCCAACCTACTCCTACATTATAAAATATCGTTCGTCGGGGCACTTGATGGTTCGGCATACATAATACATGTCCAATGCATCTCAACAAAAAAAAACTAATTAGTTAATCATTTAAAACAATTCTTACTTTACCAGAAAGGGGTTTCCTTATGTGGATATTATCGAAATTTAATAATTTTATTCCATAATTCAATTGAAGCTGAACCATTGGTAACGTCAACTTGTCCATGAAGTTGAGTAACATAAGATTAAATCCATCAACAAGTATCAGTTCCTTCATAAATAATACAGGTAAATGCCAAATAGCATAAAATTTAGGTCCAGAGTATTCTCATGAAATCATGAAATGACATATTTATACCTTTATTCTTTTTCTTTCTTTTCTCTCTCCTTTTCTTTTCTTTTCTTTTCTTCGCCTTTACTCTGACATGATTTACAATGTTCTATAATATCTAACTAATCATATTCAAAGTGACGAAACTTTACTAATCAAGAAGAACAAAAGAGAAAAACAACTCCCTTCACCGTCTAATCTTTTTTTTGTAATCTGATAATAATGAGATATTATATTACATAGATTAGAAAGGAATCATTCAGTGATTATATGTAAAATGGAGTAAAGTTGTTCATTTCAAAATTTCCAAATAATTTTTATAAATTACTTATATTAAATTCACTTGATGCTGTTTGCTTATACCTTCTTATTATTATTGTATAGGACTTCAATTGATCAGTCTCTGGTTGGCATATATGCATCTTATGCGAACTGTCTCGATATTGCATGAAGTTACAAGCATTATAGGCAATAATGAATAGTGGCTAGTAGTGGAATCTGGTTTGACGCATGTTTCGTCCTATTTGAAACTCGTCAGCTGGATGTATCTACATCACAGTGTTGATGTTCATTCTGGGACTCGTACCCAGTACCGTTCGCTTCAAACACCATCACGTTATCCACTCACCTATTGAGTCCTGATAGCCACTTGTTTGTGTAATGGGGTGAAGTTTAAACTCATTTGATATATTCCAGTGCTAGCTCCTATCCATCTTTGTTTATAATGATTGTGAATTAAGGCTATATCCAGGCAATACGCACAGTATGCTCATTTGCCAATAAGAGACTGGTCAGTTGCAGATTCAAACAAATAATACTAAATGAATAGAATGGATTGTCTGCATATAGATGTATTGAAAAACATACTATATATCAATAATGTTTACCAATAATGTCATATTGCAATGTGAAATTAGAGATTACTATCTAATACAACTTTTGTTTATTTTTGATTGAGATCATGAATCTGTAGATGGCATCGAGTCTCGATTGACTATGATCACCACTACAGTAAGAATACGCACCGGAAAACAACTTGATTCCCCTGATAGATCATAAACCAGAAGGCTGTAATTGGTCCAAATTGAGTATAATTAATGACGATCTCGTGGTCTCGAATGAATATCGACACATGCCAAAGGTTACAGGCAAAAAAGCAGAGTGTAAGAACGTTCGAATGAACAAGATGGACAACGGGACGAAAGTGATTTTGATATAGTTAAAAAAACGAGTACAATAAAACAATCACTGGTACAATTGATTATAATAATAATTCTCTCCATTATACCAATCGCGTTCTCGTTGAGAAATGAAGGTCACTACAAATCTATTGATGTCAAAACACCATTGAAAAACTGGAATCAGTGGACGGTCATTTCATCCTAGTAAGAGACTCCTTAACTATACTCATGCATGATCCCTCTCGTGGGATTCGAACCTATGGGCTTCGATCTCACGCGCGAACGTTTAACCTCTAGTCCACTAAACCGACATCGAACGATGTTAATGTCTAACCTCAATCAATACATGAAATTGCTCCATCATCTTGTTTGTTTGTTTTTGATCAAAACGAAAGTGTTGACATTCATTCAAGAAGAAAATTTATGAAATTCCACATCGTAGAGATAAATATATGTTTTCTTTAACAACTTCACTATTCTACATGCATATACAAACTTACTTACGTACAAATACACAATTGAAATGATCCTCATAGATCTACTATACAAGAAGAAAGTGTTGATTTCATGAATACATTCATCACCCCCCCGAAATGTCAATATAGTAATGGTGGTAGTTATTAGTGATGAATAGAAAGATCATATTAAGAAATTTGATATGAACTACTTGTTGAATGATTGAAGAATTTCTGTAATATGATACTTATGATAACAACTTTAATAAGGTTTCAAATATCCGTTGTCATTTTATGAATGTTCCATTCTCTTTGTTCTCATACACAATAGTCTTAAGATATTGTGTGGTGTGAACTACTTATATCCACATAAGTAGTATATGATGATAGTCGGGCATTGAATGTATTTCAACAAAAGATTGATAAGGAAAGAATGGGAACCGGACACAGTTGGTATCAGAATGCATGGAATGGTCAAGATTGTGACAATTGATTGATAGCTTGCAAATTCACTGTTTACTTTATGGTTATCAGATTTTACTGAGATAGTACCTGTTTGTCTTCTCGTTCACTACAATTGTATTAATGATAAGAGTCTGTAAATGGGATCTTACAATAAGTGGTGATCCAGGGAATAAACTATCCTGCACATAACTAAGAGTCCCATATTCGATGCCCAGTTATAAGGTTACAGGTATGCATTGCTATGCAGTGTGTTATATGAAGACAAATCGATCGTGAGATGCTATCGAGTTTTAAACATTTGTTCATTTGTTCATTTCACTAAGTCACTTTTTTGTTATTTACATAGTCTCTGGGTCTCATTAATCCCTAGGCCTTCTTTTTAACCATACAGTAAGAATAATGGAAAGCTGATATTGTCATTTGTAAATGAAAATTAAATATTCAAACTCATTTGGTATTGTTAGTATGAATCTTCCCATCCATGTGTTAGGATTGCAACTGACCAGTCTCTTATTGACATATGTGTGTACTGTGCGTATTGCCTGGATATAGCCTTAATTCACAATCATTATAAACAAAGATGGATAGGGGCTAGCACTGGAATATATCAAATGAGTTTAAACTTCACCCCATTACACAAACAAGTGGCTATCAGGACTCAATAGGTGAGTGGATAACGTGATGGTGTTTGAAGTGAACGGTACTGGTTTTGAGTCTCAGAATGAACATCAACACTGAGATGTAGATACATCCAGCTGACGAAGTATGGTAACCAAAAGAGTAAGTGGGAGTGAGTGAGAGTAACTGAGAGAGTGAGAATGGCATGGTAACAAAAAAAGTGAGTAGGTGGGTGAAGGTAAGAGAGAAATGGTATGGTAAGAAAAAGAGTTACTATAATATTACCCTGTTTTCATAAAAGAAAGAAAACAAGAAAAAAAACAATATTGATTAAATCTTATAAATACTGAATAGAATGTTGACAGTTTATTTGTTATTTATATGAATGTAACATAATTGGATAATCAGATGTTTACTCAAATATGAATAGACTAACCAGTGTCATTATGTAATCAAGAAAGTGGGGGGTATATTTTTGATGAATGTTCTAGTCATTTTAATAATTGAATTCATAAGTCAATGAAAGCAAAGATCATCATGGAATACCTGGAAGTACTAGATAGTTGTTTCTTCCTAGTATAAGACTCTTCAGTAGTGTTCATTTATAATCCTACCTCCCGTAGGATTCGAACTCAATAATGGATTGTAGATAAACATTGCTGAAAAGTCCAATACTAAGAAGAAACGACTGTTCAATGCTTCCACGATTTCCCATGATGGTTTACCTTCAATGGACTCATGATTTCAACTATTAAATGATTATATAATCATTTACATTTCATTGATAATAAACATCCTATTCATAAATGATGGAAAATTTGTTTGTTTGAGTAAACATTATTGATTTTTGTTGTTGTTTACCAATAGATAAATCCAAAAAAGATTAAAAGAAAAAAAATAGGATATCGATTTTTCTTTCTTTTTTTGTTTTTTTTTGTTTGTAAATGTGATTAGAGCCAAAAAGTGAAAATCAAAAAACAAAAAAAAAGTTTTTTAAAAATAAAAAAAAAACTCATATCCAAGCGTTTTAGAAAGGAAACATTTTTTTACATCCTTAGCAACAAACAAAATAAGAAACCAGCATTTAATATTGGATATTATAATATACATTGTTAAATAGGATTCATTATATTCAATGGATATATACTACTTATTTAGCTACTTATGCCTGTTACCCCCTTGTAGAGGAGTATAGGCCTTACACCAGTTTACTTCTTTCAACCATGTCCTGGGAATAGATATACATATGTATTACGTAACTATGATATAGTTTTATATGAATAGATTAAATAAATAATGAAATATGATAGTTTTTTAGTGTGATATATCAAAAAAGAAAATGAGGAAATGAATGTAACGCAGATTTTTAAATTAACCGCCGAATCAAATTTCAACGATTAAAACAAAAATGAGAAAGATATATATATATATATATAGAGAAGTATAATATAGATATGAATGTATGTTAAAGATTGTTTTATAATGAAGATCAATGGTAAGTAATTCATGTTTGTTTGTTTGTTTGTTTGCATTTGATCTTTACAGATGGTTGTTGTTGTTGTTGTTGGGAATGTGGTACTATGATTTGACTTTTTATTCAACTGGATCATCAGCTAATAGCATAGCTTTAAGTTGACTATCTTCCATACAACCTTTCATAAATTCTTCACGTGTTAATACACCATCACCATTTTCATCCATTTTATCAAAAATTTCTTCAGCTCTAGCTTCTGGACTAATATCAACAGCTGTATTATCTGTACCAAGCATTGAATAAATAGCCTATAATCAAAAGGAAAATAAATGTATAATAGAAGGTAATAGAAAGCGATGACTATAGTTTATTAGCGAGTACGACAGCTCACAAGGTACAAAGACATAAAGGGTATTTGAAATAGAGATGTGAATATGTGTATATACGAGTAAATATAGAGTAGGATTTACCGTCAAGTCGAATGACGGAACAGAAAGGCAAACGCTATTCATACGATTCCAGTACATATATACATGGGGAAGAGAACGATTCACCGAACGAGATATGTGAGTAGCCTGTTATGTGATCAGGTGTACACCTCTATACAGATCCGATAGTGATCATAACAGTACAAAGAAATGGACTAGTTGTTACCGTTCAAATAATGCAGTCTGTTAAGTGACTTAATAGAATGTCTCAACCAAAAGTAACCGTAGTCGAAGTTAATTATAGACATATATGCATCCTGTGTGGATTGCCTTGATATTTTCTTGATTCACAAGCATTATAAGCAATGATGGATAGTGGCTAGCAATGAAATCCAGTTTGACTCGAGTTTCGTCCCATTCAGGACTCGTCATTTGGATGTACCTGAGTTAATGTTCTCTCTGGGACACGAACCATGTAACGTTCGCTTCAAGGACTCAGTAGCTAAGCGAATAACGCGATGGTGTTTAAAGCGAACTATACTGAGTTCGAGTTCCAGAGTGAACATCAACTCTGAGATGAAGGTACAACCAGCTGATGAGTCTGAAACAGGACGAATCTCACGTCAAACTGGATTCCACTGCTAGCCACCATCCATTTTTGTTTATAGCATTATTAAAAGAAACTTATTTCTAGACAAAATATAAGCTGATTTGTTTTCTCACAGCAGAAATGAAAGTTCCATGATTAAACTATCTAGTTCGGGAAGCTCAACGATGCGTCTATATATATACCTGTTCCCAGATAGTATATTTGCTTGAAAATTCAGATTCTTTATATTGTATTTTAAGTCTATCATATTTGAACATCAATGAATGTAGAACGGAATATCGTAAAAAGAAAAGACGAGAACCGGTGCTTTCAACGTGATATGGTCGCTGGCAGAACAGAATATCATAGTAGGTTGAAATTAGCTAATCCCATCGCAAACAAATAGACTATCATATGTTATGTTAACTGTCTAACTGACTTATTTTGATTTGATATATTATGATGTCAAAACTATGTTGGGTGATGATACATCTTCAGAAATCCCTTGGTAAACTTATTCATTGCACATAAACTTTTTATTTATGTCATTTGATTGCCGAAATTTGAAATGTTCGCTTTTACGCTAAAGGCTCAGCAATCACCTACGGTTTGTGTTACCCTCCCGGAAGTACCTCGAATACCATTGATTCGTTTTATCTTTTGATAAACTATTTTTTGACGCTTTCCAAGGGCACTTTGTAATTTTATAAATTACGTATGAGTTGTATGCCTGTTATTTGTTCTTCCGGGATTTTTGTGGGATTATATATTTTCGAAGATAAATCTAATCTTCATTCTCTAGTGAACAGAGCTGTGTAGTGGAACAGCTTAACCTGTGCTGTTGTTGCGTTGGTGATTTTCGTTTCTTTTACCTTGTCCAAGGTGATATCATAATCCCTCGGATATACCATACTATTATGGCATCACTGGATTATTTATTTGGATTAAAAGAAAGAAGTTAACCGGTAATTCTCTGTATTTTCATTTGAGTTTATTTCAGTAATCATGTCGAAGTTTTATATCAATCCCATCAGTGTGTCAAAGATTATTATTAATTGTACGTGAAGGACGAATGCCATTCCACCTGTAGGTCTTCCAGAGTTGCTGCCTGTCCCAGCCCCGGATAAAAGAAGAGGTTTGGGCTTGGGGTCAGCAACTTCATCCCTAAAGAATCAACCTTGCTACAATAACTCTAACCAGTAAATGAATCTTGAAATCTATATGCTGATCCTAATTTATAGAACAAATGGTTCTTAATCTATTTTTGATCTCTTATAGTTAGCTAAATAAGTTAAGATTTGCAATGTTATTCAGCGGTACAATTCACCTTTGTCTACTGAAAACATGCCCGACCGTTGCTGCCACCTTGACGTGGTGGTCAGGTCCGCCTATCATGATGAACCAATAGAGCTATAATGGCTGGAACAATTGTTCTTCAAGGTCCTACAATGTCAGATAGGTTGGTTGAAGAGCGGTAAGACTAAAAGCAGCAAACCTAAGGTTCGAAGATGAAGTCGTGCTGCTGACTATACAGAGGTGTAGTGGCAGTAACGTGTTTCCTTCAGACAACCAGCATAACAACGATGCTGCCTTCCCACAAGGAGGGGTTTGGTTAGAAAAGGTCGACCCTAAAAATGCACACCTCGACTTATACCACGGATATCCATCTCTGGCAGTAAGGTCCCAACACGTACGGAGCCAGTACAAAAATTATCTACCAAAAGGTTGTGTGTGACCGACTTAAGCAGTTGTCCCTTGGGCACTGCAGTCACGCTCTCAGGTCATTAAGACCACTTATAATCTAATTTTCTTTTCAGGTACCTCTAGATGAATTTTTCTACGATGTGGACAGCCGAGAAGTGATAACTTCCATCATACCTCTAACAGCCCTCAAGATCACTGACTGAAAACATAATTTAACAGAAGTAATAGAAACCTTAGATCAAACAATAACTATTACGTTAGCCAAACACTGAAGCTGTTTATCAATACTTTGACGACCATAGTCTTTAATAAGGAACAATATATGTTGAATTTCACACCAAGATCAATAAAATTGCTATCACAATCCTAATTGGTCCAATGAGACAATTTGGTACTTTTTCTCCCCTTGACTTCCTCTAATCACTAAATATAAATCAATGGTGGAGAGGAGCACTTTGTAACTAATCTAGCAAAAGACAATGTATATCTGACAGACTAAGAACTAAGCAATTTTGTTTTAGTTTTCGGTAATGACGACCCATATCATTTGAAATGTATCCAGGATAGAAAATAATCCCAATATGAGTTTTCTGTTTTTCTTCAACTACTTACTAATCTACTTATTTCAATAATATAAAATACTCAAGCATACACTCACACACACACATACATACATACATACGGACATCCATAATAGATTAACACTTAAATTAAAACTTTAATAACTTCGTTAACAACTTTCAATCATCATTCTAAATAAATTCTCGTTGCCTTGGTTACTGATGGCAATCATTTATGAAGGCGCGAGAGAGAGAGTGAGAGTGTGTGTGTTAAGGTTGAGATAGAATCAAAATCTGAGAATTGCATAATGATTTAACTCTATACAATCTAAGCAACTATATACCGACCCCTTAATCACTTGTAAACCAAATAAAGTAATTTACTGTGTATGATTTTCAAACAGGACTGGTTGATCTTAGTGACCAGAATACAACTAATATGTTGTATCCTGTTATAGGTTGTTAAGAGAGGGGAGAATTTTATGCGGTACATTGAGTCCATCAACTAACTCATAAATTATAATCATCAATCAACAGGGATAGTTTATTCCATTCCCTACAACTGGATACATATATACATATACGTATACTTATCAATTTGTTAAAAACAATATCCGGTCCTTTAAATTCCCAACGTTTTGGATATTGATTGTATGTATTGTATTCTCTTTACTCTATATATACATAATATGAAAGAAGTTTTGAAATATTCCTAAGTGCATTGGACAGTCGTTTCGTTCTATTGTGGGACTCCTCAGCAGTGCACATCCACTATCTCGTCTCGTGGGTTCCAACAAAGGACCTATCAGTCTTGCGCGTGAGCGCCTAACCTCTAGAACAGTGAGCCGGTCGGTTTTCCAACGGTGTTAATGTCTAACTTCAAGCAATCCACGAAAATGAGCAACCATTAACCAATGTCTTCAGGGAATTGCTATCTCACAACAGACATAATTGAACTCCACGAAATTGATAGGTCATGTGTTCGAATCTAGTGAGGAGGGATCGTAGATGCGCACTGATGAGGAGTCCCAGAATAGGACGAAACGACCGTAAAGTGCCTCCAGGTTTTGTATGGTGGTCTAGTTTCAATTGACTCATGATTTCAGCTATAAAATTACTAAAATCTCCACAAAAATACCCTTTCTTATATCTTTTCAATTTTATCATGTTAACTACTTGTTAGTAGTGTTAAAATTTATGTTAAAAAAATTGATTTCGGTGAAGTTTTGTTCTCTAAGTTGTATCATGACTGGAAGGTAACTCAGTTAGAAGTTTGTTCTGATGAAGTCGTTCAAAAGAACAATGAACACTTCACAACAAAACCATCCAGTTCAAAGAACAAATCGCTATCGAAATCATTCAGCTAAGCTACAAATCTTCTTCACCATCACAAAAAGTTTATTATTCATCAGAAAGGGTTTTGTGGGGATTTAGTATTATCATAGTTGAAAGCGTGAGACAATTTATTGTGGGAATCCTCAGCGATGCGCATCCAACATGAGATATCAATTCACTGAAGACAATTGGTGAACGATTGCTCAACTACGTGGATTGGTTGAAGTTAGACATTACCACCGTTGGATGTCGGTCAGCTCAGTAGTCTATGGGTTAAGGGCTCTGACTCGAGACTGTTAAGTCCTGTGTTTAATTCTCGTGAGTGCAGAATCGTGGATGCGCACTACTGAGGAGTCCCACAATAGGACGAAACGACCTCAAAGTGCTTCCAGGTTTTCCATAGTGATCTAGCTTCAATGGACTCATAATATCAACTATACAAAAAACAAACCAAAATAAATCATACTAAACTTTTCAACTTACCCTAATTATTTCAACCATTTCCGTTCGTTAAATTGTACCATTACCATCAATATCATACATTTGATAGGCCCATTCTAATTTTTCTTCTGGATTACCACCTGATGTTATATTAATAGCTAATAAAAATTCTTTAAAATCAATTCGTCCAGAATTATCTTTATCAAATGTACGAAATACATGGGTGCAAAATTTTTCAGCATTACCATCAGGGAAAAAACCTGAATAGACTTCAATAAATTTTTTTTTACTTAATTGACCTGATGGACAATCACGCTATAGAAAGAAGAGAAAAGAAAGGCAACAAAACAAAGGAATGTAAGTTTTATATTATTGAATGATGATAGTAATGCCGCTTGTAGATCCTACCGGAGGGTTACTGTCGGTCTCAAGCTTGGATAAAGGAGGAGGGTTGGGTATTGGGTCAGTGACCCCAAGAAATTATTACCTATATTTAACTTGTCCAAATAACGTAAGAACCTGACTAGTATTGTGATGTGGGTTACTTATTTCCACATAAGTAGTATATGATGAGGGTCAGGTATAGAATGTATTTTGGCAGAAGATCGATAAAGAGAGAACGGAAACGGAACGCAATTGGTATGAAAATGTATGGATAATAATAATCGGAGACGATAAACATCAATTCTGAGATGCCAGTACATCCAGGTCACGAGTCACAAATAGGACGAAAAGCGTGTCAATCTGGATTCCACTAATAGTCACTATTCATCTTTGCTTATGATGCTCGTGAAATAAGAGTATATCGAGGCACAGTATGCACATAAGCCAATAAAAGATTGACCAATTGCAGTCCTACAGATCAATATGAAGATTCAAACAATACTAGGTGAATAATTGAATGATTTTATTAACTCTGCTTGTAGATCCTCCCGGAGTTTACTGTCGGTCCTAAGCTAGGATAAAGGAGTAGGGTTGGGTATGGGGTTAGTTGCCCCATTCTGTAGAAAACTAACTCTTTAAAAAAAACGTTTGCCAGAATTATGACGTCTAATGATGAAAGTCGAGTTCCTTTCGGAAGTCATGAGGCCGATGCCTTTTCTAATTTGGATAGAACTAGAAAAAAAGGCTCATTACAGAATAGTTTGCAGAATGCTGGTCGGTAGCCTATGCTCCATTAGGAATAACAGGCGTAAGTAATTAATTAAGTAATGATGTTAGTATTCATGATTAGATTGTGTGGTCAAGATATCTAAGTTGACGAATTCAGGTACCAGTCTGAAAAAGGGCGTCAGTTCGAATCTCACATCCAATATACTATTCATGATAACCTAGTAGTAAATTTGCACAGTTTTCTTGTCCTCAATCCATTAACCGACTGGAAACACATGACCTACGTTCATATCGGTTCATTCAGTAACTTTTCTGGAACAAGATTTCAACTGTTTTTTCTCTCTCTTTGTTTCTTAACTTTGAATGTATTTGCTCAACATTTCAAATTAGATTAAACTCGGTGATTTATCTTATACCTCCAAAATTTGATTAAAGGTGTTGTTAGTTCATGATTCTCACTGATAAGTATACAAACTAAGGACAATGTTTGAACCGATTCGATTACCATAATATGATTCTAGATAGGGATCTAGATTGATTTTACATTATATATATAGTGGACCTATCGGGAATAATAACTTCTTTGGTGAACTCCCTGATACTTAGAATCACGATGGATAGCACGTTTGGCGTTTAAAGTTAAAATTACTGAAGTTTGAGTCTCAATATGAACATCAACAATGAAGAACAGCAAACATAACCAATGATTGAGTCTCGAATAGTATGTAACACACATTGTATATTCCACTAATAGTCACATTCTATCTATTGTAACTGAACAATAGTAGTTTCAGAGTATACAAATCAATTTATAGAATACATACAAATAGTCTTTTCATTAGCGTTTTCTGCTTAGCATCTTTTTAAGCGAGTTGATTTTTCTACTGGATGGGGTCGCTAACCCCATGCCCAGCCCTCCTCCTTTACCCCAGACTTGGGAGCGGCGGTAACTGTAGAAGAGCTACAGACGGAGTTCTTTTCATTAGTAATCTCATTATTATATTACAGTGCTGTGTGTTACTGTTATTCACAGATATAAGTAGTGTGTATTATCAATCGAAGTTGAAATGCCTGATGGCTGAAGGTCAAGAAGATTGAGGAAATGAGAATGAGAACTAACAATAATTAGTGTGGAAACAAAAGAACAATGAAGTCTGAGATGATTGAAGTATTTATTATATGGTTATCAGATTTTACTAAATGATTCTATGGTTGTGAAGATTGTGCACAGGTGAAGTTGAGGAAGCTCTAAGAAGCTCAGAAGAAGGCGAATATATTCCATTCAATCAGATTGGGGAGGAATATTCTAGAATCACTACTCGTAGCTTCCCTATTGGACAATGCTGATAACCCCCTGTGTGCGGATTGGATAACTATAATGATGATTTCATTTCAACTAAAAACTATAAATACCTCACTGTTTTGTACCATAACTGACAATGTATTAGGTACAACTTTCCTCCTATTTGTCTTCTGTCTTCTGATTTTCCGACTTGAGAGGGTTCTAGCATTCGAATGCTCAAGTAATACGTGACATACTAAGAATCTAAGTTCGAGATATAACAATAATTTGGTATTCAAATACCATTGATTATTCCCACTTGTATACTTTTTCACTATATTACCATCCCTATTAGTAAATAAACAAGAGTCCCCAAGAGAATGTATTCATTTGTACATAACATTTGTTGTTATCAATAGTAAACAATCTATGTATAAATTCAATTTAGTATTGTTTGTTTGAATCTTCGCATTGATGTTTAGGACTGCAAATGGTCAGTCTCTAATTGGCATATGTGCATAATGTGCGTATTGCTGCCTCGATATAGCATTGTAAACCGAGTGGATAACGTGATGGCGTTTGAAGAGAATGGTACTGGGTTTGAGCCCCAGTGTGAACATCAACTTTGAGATGCAGGTGCATCCAGCTGATGAGTTCCAAAAAGAAGAAACGCGCATCAAACTGGATTCCACTGCTAGCTAATATCCATCTTTGCTTACAATGTATGTATAGTATACTTATATAATACTTATATAGTATATATATATATATACTACTTATATAAGTAGTTTTGTTCACTAACAAGAAATGTTCAACAATACATAAGTTGTTCAAATAATGTGAAAAAACCTAACTACTATGAATTGAAATGCAAATTTTTTAGATAAACCCTAGTAAAGTTAATAACGTTGATCATACTCGGTAAACAATCAATAATAAAGTTACAAGGCATTTACGTAATACATATACACAGCCATTAATTATCCATTTGTATCTTCCGGTGTGCTCTGCAATCTGAACTTTCTTCTCGACTGGCTTCCTAGTGTTCTGCCAACGTCGTGTTTTCAATGATCTATAACTCTTCAGTCTGTCCAGTAATTGTTTCAAACTTGACACCACGTTCTGGTACACACTACTTAAAAACATCCTTGTCTGTAATATCAGCTGCAATATGATTCATTATTTTCGGTGTACTGTAATTTGGAATTTTAGATACAGAGTCAAGTGAATTATGAGGCTAAAATTAATGAAGTAGAAGGAGCTTCTGGTGACTACTGAATTTTTTACTTTATATCACTCAATAACCTTAGTTAGGTTACCATTAGGAACTAGTAGCTACCGGGTAGCTATGTTGACCTAGTGTGAAACTCCTCAACACTATGTATCAACGGATACTCTGTGGATCCAACACAGGGTTTTCAACTTTCTCTGAGAACAAAACTTATAGTCTATCGAATTAGTATCCAGTGGATTCCATAAATTATAAAATATTGACAAATACTTCCGAGAATTTTATTAGGAAACTGACATGCACACCGTTGAATGCCAACATAATGGTCTGATGTTTAAGGGATCGTTTGAAGAAGGAACAGTCAAGATTGAGATAATGAATTAATTGTTTGCAAATCAACTGTTTACTGTATGGTTATCAGATTTTAATGAGATAGTCTGTAATTTCATGTTACGGAAGTTTGATTGTCCCCACTTGTGTTCTTGTTCACTACAATACCACTCATAAAGGAAAAGCCTGACATCAGAAGGTTCAAAAAAATCAAATAAAAGTGAATGGGATCAGAGAGTAATTGATATAGAAATAAAAGAACAATCATGTCTGAGACAATTGGTGAACATTTTGTAAATCAAGTATTTACTGTATGGTTGCCAGATTTCATTAAGAGAGTCTGTAATTTTTATATTCAAACAATTTAGTTGCTTCTAACTTACGCTTTTCATTTATTACATACCTACCGAATTCATTTCATTAAAGTAAAGTTATATTCACTTGATGTTGTTTACTTGTATCTTCCCATCGATGTGTTAGGACTGCAATTGACCAGTCTTTTGTTGGCATATATACATCCTATGAGGACTGCCTTGCTATTGTCTGATGTCACAAGCTTTATGAACAATGATGGATAGTGGCTAGTAGTAAAATTCAGTTTGATGCGAGTTTTTTCCTATTTGGCACTCGTCAGCTGGATGTACCTGCATCACGGAATTGATGATCAGGACTCAGTAGCTAAACGGATAACTTGATGGCGTTTGAAGCGAATAGTACTGGGTTCGAGTCAGTCCATTTTTGCTTATTGCATATTTTGTTTATTAACATTAGTGTAGTAATATATATTATCAGAATATCAGATATTTTAAATCGTGATCATTTTTTAATTGTTCACTCTGGGACTCGAACCCAGTACCATTCGCTTCAAATGTCATCGCATTATCCACTTACCTATAGAGTTCTGTTGCGTTTTTCATTTGTTTTACAGAGTTTTAGTTTTATTATCAAAACATCAAATAGAGCAGATCAGATAGATCAAAGACAATGAAACATGAAAAGAAATTATTATGATCAGTTAGTTTCCCTCAGGCTGTGTGTGTTTATACATTAGTATACAAACAATACTATTGTGGTGATCAAGAACTGGACTGAAGACAATCAAATTTATTTACCTT